TATTCAGATCTGAGAGAAAATTACAGAACAGAGAGGTCTTATTTATAGTGAAAGAAATGAATACAAAAAGCAAATAAATTAATAATAAAATCTATTTTTAAAATACATATGATTGAATAGAATTAATTAACTTAATTCATATTTCCGGAAGGCAACTAATCATAATTCAATAAGTAATAATAATTATAAATATAATAAATTAAATATAAATAATAATAAAGAAGAATGAATAAAATTATAAAAAAATTAATTAATTAAAAATATTAATAATCTAAATTTGTAATTGTGATATATATAGTGATTATCTGAGTAATAATATGCTAAATCTAGATGTATTTAATATATAATGATCATTTGTATATTCAAAGTGAAAATGATCTTCTTAAAAATATAATATAAAGCTAATCTATTATACAAATAGTGTAAAATAAAGATTTAAACTAAAAGAGATCTAAAGGAAGATAATCTAATTAAAATTATTATAATTTTTCTAATATATTATATAACGTAATTAGAAAGATTATAATAATAATTTATTTTTTTATAATATATAAATATTTTTTAATAAAGATTATAAGATAATATATTATTTATTATATATATATATATATATATATTAAAAAATTTAATATATAATTATTTTTTAATATATATTTAAATAAAAAATCAATAAAAAGATAAAATAATTAATATTATAATAAAAAAAATCTAATTAAATAATATAAATAGATAATTGAATAATTATATAAAATAAAAAAATATAATATAATATTTTTTTATTATTATTAATATAAATTAAATTTATATTATATTTTAGTAATATTATATTAATACTTAATTAGATATTTTTAAAAGAAGAAAAATAACTAAAAATTTAATTATATAATATTATATTATATATAATTTCTAATTAAAATAGTAATAATATAAAAATATTTAATTATTATTTATAATTAAATTATTTATAATTAATAAAAAGCTTAAATATTATATTTTTTTAATTTTTATAATTATTAATAATATTAATATAAATTTTAAATAAAATATAATATATATTTTTATAATATATTATTAAAAATATAAAAAAATATAATAAAATATAATAAACTTAAAATAATTTTCTTTATAAAAATTTTTAATTTATTAATAAAAATTTTTTTATTTTTATATTAAAATATAATAAAAATTTATAATTTAATATATAGTAATAATCAAAAATAATATAATATTTAAATTTTTTACTAATTATAATTAGTAAAAAATTTAAGTATTATATTATTTTTGATTATTACTTTAAATTTAAAATAAATTTTATTTTTATTAATTAATTTTTATGATTTTTTAAAAATTATAATTAAATATAATTTAATTTTATTAAATTTAATTTTAATTAATTAATTAATTTTAATTTATTATTATAAATTTAATTTTAATAATATATTATATACAGTGACAATCAAAAATAATGTAACGCTTAAATTTTTTACTAATTATAATTAGTAAAATATATATTTTTTTTATATATAAAAGTTTTAATTTTACTAATAAATATTTTTTATTTTTAGCTTAGAAAATAGCTAAAGTTCTTTAGTTTAACATATATTTTTTCAGATTTTTCAGAATTTTTACCAACAACTTGTTCTAATTACATATAAAATTAATTAATTTTTATTAATTAATAATTAGTAAAAATTAATTAACTTTATATACAATTAGAACAAGTTACCAGTAAAAAAATCCAAAAATTCTGAAAAAAATATATGTTAAACTAAAGAATTTTAGCTATTTTTTGAGCTAAAAATCAAAAATATTTGTTAGTAAAATTAAAAACTTTTATATATAAGGAAAAATATGTATTTTACTAATTATAATTAGTAAAAAATTTAAGTGTTACATTACTATTATAACTAATTATAATTAATTAATTAATTAAATATAATTAAATTAATTAAATATAACTAGTTAAAATTAAATTAATTAATCAAATATAATTAATTATAAATATAAATAATTTTACTAAAAAAATTTATAAACTAATTATAAAATTAAATTATATAATTTAATAATTTAATAATTAATTCAATTTTAAATTCTAGCTTAATATATTTTTTTAAAGAAGTTTATTTTATTATAAAGTTACTTTAAAATTTTAATTAATAAAAAATTTTAAATTAATTTTGCAATTAAAAAAAATATATATTAAATTATAAACTTTTATCTTTATTTAATAAAAAAAATATTTATTAATAAAATTAAAAACTTTTATAAATAAAAAAAATTATTATTAAAATTTATAAATTTTAGTAAATAATTAAAATTAGTTTTTAAACAATTTTGAATAGTTTGAATAAAAATTTATTAGTAATTTAATTATATAAATTTTAAATAAATATATTTAAACTGATTTAGAGATTAATTTTGTAAATAATATAATATTATTTTTGAATTTTAATAATATTACAAATCTGTTAAAAGTCAAAATATTAATTAATTATTAATATATAATTTAATATAATTTCTGATATATTTTTCAAAATAATTTAAAATAAATATTCTTAATTATATAATTAAATTTTTAAAAAATAAAATTCAATTATTATAAAAAAATAATTATAAAATATTTTAATTATAATTATTAATAATTAAAAAATTACTAAATTAAATAATTATAAAGAAATATAATTATATAAAATATTTTAATTATAATTATTAATAATTAAAAAATTACTAAATTAAATAATTATAAAGAAATATAATTATAACATAATAATTATATTATATAAGATTAAATAATTTAAAAAAATAAAATATTTATATATAATTAAATCTCTATAAAATATAATCTCTTTATAAAAACTGAATTTTAAGAATTATTATATATATATATAAGAGATTACTATAAAACAAATTTTTTATAAAGAATCAGATTTCTAGTTTAATTATATTTTTATAAAGAAAAATAACTATATTAAAATATTAGAAAATAATATAAATTAAAATATGAAAATAGAATATAAAAGGAAATATATAATAATAGATTAAAATATTATTATTAATATATCAAAAATCTAAAATCAATAATAGTAATCACTAGAAATACAAATCAAAACTAATATAATTTTATTTATGAAATAAATTAATTCTAGTTTTAAATCTAATTATAGTAGTGAATATATGTAAATTCGTCTTGTATTTTCATGTGCAAGAATATTATTAGAATAGAACAGTTTTCCTATTGACTATCATTATAGTAAGAAAATTATACGAAATACAATACATATCAATATAGTTATTACAAACTTTCCGTTGTGAATTTTTGATTTTCAACAAAAATTTCCTAATTAGTTTCAGTAAATCAATAAAACTAATATAACGTCTATTCAAAATGTTAGAACTTATTGCATCAATGGATAACAAATATGAAGGGTTTCTATGCAAGTTGGCAATCAGACTATAATACAACCATTACAACGAATTTTCACAAGTTTTTTTACGCCTCATCATTAGATCGATATCGGTTATAATAAATACAACAATGCGAAAGCAAACATCGACATATTATAATAACCAAATCCCGTGATTAACAATAGGTGTTCCTAACAAGACGAGAAATCAAGTCAATTTCTAAATGTCACTGGTGGCACACACTCACATAAGTACTTATCCTAAGAAAATTGCCTCATAGTACAGCACGATAAAAAGAAAAATTTCGTAACAAACCTATATATTTTGACATGATACATTCCCAAAAACCTCGGCGGCTATCTACTGTGTCCTCCACTTCAGTGTCAGTGCAAGCCAAGAAAAGTTCACAAGCAGTAAATAGTACTAATAGCACAAATTCGCCCACTACAACTGGTACAATTAGTTCACAGGGTATTTCCAACCCTGAGATTTCGTGGTTACAACAACCGCCTGTAAGAACAAACATCGCTACACAACAACAGCAATACCACCAGACACAGCTTTCATCCCCAAGAGCTGCCTTATCTCCACATAGGAAGAGTTCTGTAAATGGGAAGAAAGTAAAAGAGGATAGTAGTAGTAGGAGTGATTCGTTAAAGTCGGTGGATAGGCTTGAATTAGCAAATTTAGATCAGAAATCTTCTCAAAATTCGCCATCGGCTAGCTCCGCTTCATCTCCGCAAAGAAAATCTATATCAAAAAGTAAAGAGGACTCGAAAATAGAATCCATGGAAACTAGCTCTTCAAAGCCGTCAAAAAGTAAAAAGTATAAAGAACAGCAAGCAGAAGTTATGAAAACTTTTAATGAATTGCAGTCGTATGAAGTTAAACTTGCAAGTCAAACAAATGAGACTATAGCGAGAATGAATACTTTATTTAATATAACGCAAACTCTTCCCGGAAAAGATAATGATAGTGACGAAGAGGCATTTGGTACGATCGATGATGTAAACAATAACAATAATAGTCGCAGTAATTCATTATCAAAGGCTTCTCTTGTGGGGTGAGTGTTCAAACAATATCGAATACAAAGTCATTCATTACTTGTACTTTCTGAGAGATCTGGAAGATCTAATAGAATCAATCATTGAATAAATAAATTAAATAAACAAATAAATAATAAATAATTGATTGATGTACTTTCTCGTTCAGTATTACAGCAATTAGCTTATTAAAAGTCGAATGTAATTAATTCTAAAACTCTTTATTCTTATAGAGTTGATAATAAACTGCGTCGTTCAACTTCTGCCGCTAAAAAACGAATAACGACATCAAACTCATCATCATCGACATCCACAATTACCACAACTACTACAACACGTCCAAAGACACTAGTACGGCTTACTAGTTCTATGGAAATTAGTCACTCGAATGTAAATAGTACTGGAATGACAAACTCACATGGAAATTATGCGGCCAATGACTCTACTAGTATAAGTCGCCGAAGAACAAATACGTCAGACGGGATTCCATTATTGAGGTCAAGTAGTTATGGTCATAACAGATATGCTAGTGATAATTCTGGAATTGGACTCGCCGTTACTACAAATTCACGAGTGGATATGTCGGAAAAAAAACCATTAAAAGAGACACGTTCTGCTGAAATATTAGCGCATTTAATGCAATTGCATGACCCAAAAAAGAAAAAACGTGCAACATTGGATCCATCATTAGCTACAAAAACTAAATTTCCATCGGATGATTATTCAGCTCCTTTGCGACGAAGGGGAACAATTGATGCAAAATCTTTGCCGCAATCAAGTTTATTAGCTAATGAATTATTGGACGATGATGAGTTGAGTAGAATGGAAAGTACACCATCTCCATTGTGGCCTGGTGTCACCCGCTCTAAAACAATGCCGATACCAGTTCCGAAATTACCTTCAACACCTACAAATTCAAAATTACCATCCCCAAATACTCTCCGCAATCACAGTAGCACGGGACATTTTCCTACTTTATCCTCAATAAAGAATAATAACAGCCATGTCAATTCATCAAAATCCTCAAAATATGAGCCTTCTGTGGACATATTATCAACATCTGCACCGAGTGTCACAAAGCGTCGTAAGTCTGTTGCATCTGGTGTTATACAAACATCGCCTAATTCATCTAGTACATCATCACCTAAATCAACGAGCAGAACAACCACCCCAACTTCATCACTTGCTAACCATCGCCTTTCTCATCCGCCTCCTTTGAAATTAACACAACTACCACCACCAGTGCCTCTGATGCCCCCAAGCATGCTTCCACAGCCACGGCCTCGTAGTCAGCAAAAGCTACATAAATCAGAAGATGTTCCTCCCGTACCTGTATTGCCTTCATCCATTATGAAAGACTCTGGTAGTAACTTATCGGGGTCGGACCGTAAATCTGTAATGATAACTGAACCTCCGAAAAGTGGTGAAAGTTCGCCCAAAGGTAAGAAAGAAAAAGCTTCGGAAAGTCAGACATCTACGAAGAAATCGACCAGGAAAAGAGGAACGGTAAGTAATCTTTCGCTCATCGTCTCTGAATTTACTCTCGGATGTGTGGCTTCCTGATGTTTTTTCTCACCAAAATTATAGACTCTTCCAAATGGTGCAGCTGCCCCGCCTGCTCTTAAGCCCATGATACTGCCGCCTCTCAATGTTCCAACATTACCTGCCTCTATGAATCGAATAACTGCGCCTTCGAAAACACCTACAACTTTAGATGTTAGAACATCAATAAAATTGACAACTCCTACTTCTGCTCACACTCCGAGTTTTACAAAGATTCCTACTCCCACAAGATCCTCAAAAAGCAGCACTGGAATTTCATCGCCAAGCGGATTAAGAGGACTCCTTTCAAATACAAGAATCTCACCAAATAACAAATCGACCGCTGCTGAATCCACGAAAAATACGCGTGTTAACGGTACTGCAGTAAATGGTCGGAAAAGTGCTACAACTCCGACGCAACTTCTAGCAGCTGCTCAAAAAAGTACCAAGAAAGCAGCAGCATCCCTGAACTTCTTGACATCTAAAACTCAATCACCTACGAAGGCTCCAAGTCCAAGCACAGGCACCAATGAAAAACCCATATCAAGACCAAGACGATTATCAAATACGATTGCGTCAATATTTCCGAATAAATCATCATCTAATGATGTGTCGAATCATTCATCTAATAATAGCATTGCAAAAACGATCGCTAGTCTTCATAGTCCAAAGTCAACAGGCTCTAATATGTCAATACCCAGAAAGCCTCGCACAATATCAGGGCCTGCTATTGCTACCTCGGTATACATGGGATCACCATTAACAGCTAAAATGAGATTCGGATTACCAAATGACTCTTCTCTCTCTATATCATCCTCTTCATCGGGTGGTACACCGAACGGCCATAAGCAGGGCGAAGATGAAATGTCAACAAGTGGCGAGGAAGAAGGAACAAATCTCTTGCAAGAGAAAAAAGAAAAGGAAAGAAAAGAACGAGAGGCACAATTGAAAGGCACTCCGCCGAAGACGCCACAGGAAGCTTTAAAAACATATGGACAGTATTTATCATTATATGAGCGTACAGAAATTCTCGATTACCCCAATGTATATTTTGTGGGACCTAATGCACAAAAGAAAGCCGCAAGCCCCGAATTAACTGGATGTAATTTCGGTTATGATGATGAGCGTGGTGATTATCTTGTTGTCACGGGTGATCATCTCTGTTATCGTTACGAGATTTTAGACAGTTTAGGAAAAGGCTCTTTTGGTCAAGTCTTAAAATGCCATGATCACTGTACTGGAGAAATCGTGGCCGTAAAGATAATTAGAAATAAAAAACGATTCCATTGTCAAGCTCTTGTTGAAGTAAAAATTTTGGAATCTTTAAATAAATGGGTACATATTAATTTAATTTAATTTGATTAATTAATAATTATTATAATTAGCAATTAAATATTTTTGAAAATTAGGACCCGGATGATTCACACAACATTATTCATTTAACTGATCACTTTTATTTCCGGAATCACTTGTGTATCGCCTTTGAGCTTTTAAGTATCAATCTATATGAATTCATAAAAACTAACAGTTTTCAAGGATTCAGTCTTGGATTGATAAAAAGGTAATTTTAATGCATGTTCGAATTTTGGATGTTAGGATCACTCTTAGAATCTTGACGGTTTTCAAGCTTTGAATTACTAATCTAATTTATGTGAAAATTTAGATTCTGTACACAGCTTCTCAACTCTTTGTCGCTTCTTCAAAAACATAATATTGTCCATTGTGATTTGAAGCCGGAGGTATGCATATTCTTAATTTTCTTAAAAAAGGAAATTTACATGATCTAAATTTATTATTCTACCATATTTTATATTTAATGATTAGAATATATTGTTAAAGCATCCTACGAAGAGTAGCATAAAAGTAATTGATTTCGGTAGTAGCTGTTTTGAAAATGAGAAAGTCTATACATATATCCAAAGTCGATTTTATCGATCGCCAGAAGTCATTCTAGGGATGACATATAATATGGCTATTGATATGTGGAGCTTAGGATGTATTCTCGCTGAGTTGTATACTGGTGTGTATCTTTAAGTCACTGAATATTAAAATTAGCAAACTTATGCTCTCTATGATTCTCAAAAATTGCGTTCGATAGGGTATCCACTATTTCCCGGTGAAAATGAGCAAGAGCAACTTGCTTGCATTATGGAAGTGCGGGGTCTACCCGATAGATATCTCATTGAAAAGAGTGAGAGAAAGAAGCTGTTCTTTGGTAAGATTGACATTTACTAGTTCTTGGTTAAGCGTTCAATATACGAATATTTAACTCATTTCGCCTTAAAATGTAGATTCGAACGGCAATCCCCGTCCTATCACAAATTCTAAAGGAAAGCGCAGGCGTCCACAATCAAAGTCTTTAGCTCAAGCGTTGAAATGTCAAGATGAAGTATTTTTAGATTTTATCTCTCGATGTTTGCAATGGGACCCAGAGAAAAGAATGAAACCTGACGAAGGTTTAATGCATGAATGGATTACAGATGTGAAACTTAACGTAAATTATCATAAGTTTAAGAAAATTCAAAACTTGGTATTAATTTCTCGCAGAAAATTAACTTTTTATGTTATTGCCAAATATTAATAAAACAACAGCGAAGGACATTAGTGACACCGCCGAGAGAAGATTTTCCAAGTAGAACGACCAGCTTAACTAGTAATAGTCGTTCTTCACAATTCTCGACCACCAGCTCCATACATAGTTATCACAATAACAACAGCAATGATTCAAACACAAATCAATCAAGCCAATCGACGACGTCGAATCTCGCACCACTTCAACGTATTCCTACGTATCCTCAATCAAGACGTAGTCTTGAGGTTGCATCACAAGCATCTACAACACGAGGATCTGGTATCAGACAATTTGGAAATTCAATATCGTTAGCTTCAACTAGAAATGGAAATGAAAATATATTAAACACAAACGGTTATTTGGTAAGTTATCCTAATGTAAGAAAGTGTAGCTCAATATATAAATGATGAAGATAAATTTATATATTATGTAGAATCAATTTCATAATAAATTGAATTCAAAAATTTTCACCAAAAAAATATGTAAATTTTAGATTATTGAGCAATAAAAATTAACTTTATTTTTCATTCATTTAGCCATAAAGAAATGAAGAATGGATGCACACGGACGGTTATCAACGGACACAAAAGTGTGGATTTCGATATGTGAACAAACGCGACGATACAATAACATTATCATTTCTAACGGAAATTACAAGCCTCAGAGACGATTATTTGCATTTTATATTATCAACACGACTGTTCATAATTATGAGCATCATACTTTTTAATCAACTTCACTAAATTAAACTTGGATCGTCCAGTCGATATAATTGACCTTGGTATTATTCAAATACTGTCATTTCATCCTCCTTTGTGATTCCCGTTTTTTAACACGTCTTCTATTATCACTTCCTTGAGCCATACATGAATTTGCTCAAAAATTTCATGAACAATTCGCAACTAGATAACAGCCATAATATATTATTTTTTCACTTATTTATTCCATCTCTGTAAAGCGTTTTGGCGGCGTGTTGCTTTCAAAATAATGATGGTATAATAATGTGCAAAGCTTAAATTATTTGCCAATGAAATTCATTAATCATAATAATTAATAATCGAGTAGAAAATTAGTTTAATTTAGTAGGTTTTCTATTTTTGATGGCGTGAATTATTTTTAGAAATTTTCTAGCATTAGAATTACCATAATTGGATATGGGTGACGATTATCGTCATTTTTTATATTAACTGAATCAAAAAATTAGTTTTTTTTCTTGTAAATTTTTATTTTTTTTGAATTTAGATGCGATTGTATAGTTTGCAGTAAAATTATTAATGGAAAAAAATCATTTACCCTATTATAATAATTTTATGATTTACAAAAAATTCATTTTCTTTCCTGAAAATACCAATTCATGACAAATAATACTTTATTATAAGAATATAACAAAATATAGATGATAAATAAGAAAATTACTAAAATTACAGAGAAAATAATTATTATATTGAATAATTCAATAATCTTATAAATAAGCTAAAAAATAAATTCTGAATTTTTACAAGTTAAATAAATTATTTTTGCTTATGTAAAGAACTAGAGATACAAATCTGAAGGATAAATATACCAATCTCAAAATATTTTTAACTAATATATTTTATTTTTCAATAAATTAGAAAGATTATTGTTAATTATCTTATAATTTTACTAATATACATATGATAAGCTAATAAATAAATTCTGAATTTTTAATTTTTATAAGTTAAATAAATTATTTTTGTTTATATATAAGAACTAAAAATATAAATTTGAAGAAAAAATATATTAATTTCAAAAATATATAAAATATTCTTAATTAATATATTTTATCTTTTAATAAATTAAAAAATTATTATTATATATTAAGAATTTTTATAAAATTTTGAAATAAGTAAAGTTTTGTTTTTATTTCTTTGATATTTTATTAAAGAATCTTATTTTAATTATTTTATATAAAAGAATTTGAATAAATCTTTTAAAATGTTAGAAGAGCTTAAAAATTCCATTTATAAAATATACTTTTGCTTTTATGATTTTTATTAAAAGATTATATTAATATTTATCAAAGTTTATTATTAAAATTAATTAATAAAAGAGTATAGTTAATTAATTTATATATAATAATTATAATGATAATTCATTTTTATTTTTATTATTTTTATTAAAATTTTCAGAATATTTCTTATAATAAACTTAAAATTTATATTAAAATTATATTTATTATATATATTATTTATAAAATTATTAATAAAATATTTCAGTTTATATTAAAATATATAATCTATTTAAAATTATTTTGAAATAAATTATATACTTAATATAAATTAGAATATTTTATTAATAATTCTAATTATTTAAAAAGTATAAAATAAAATTGAATTTTTTTTATATTAAAATTTATAAGTTTATTAAGAAATAATTTTATTTTATATTAAAATAAAATTTAAATAATATATATTTTTTTAGATTTTTTTGAAAGAATTATTTTAATTACAAAGTTATTACAAAATTTTTTCTGATTAAAAATAAAATTTAATTAAAAAAAATTTTGTAATAACTTTATAATTAGAATAACTTTTTTAATAAATCTAAAAAAATATATATTAAATTATAATTTATAAATTTTTATTTTAATATAAAAATAAAAATTATTTTTTAATAAAATTATAAATTTTAATATAAAGAGAACTTTTAAATTTTATTATATTTTATTAATAAAATTAATTTTTTAATTTTATAATTATGAAAATTATTTTATTTAAACTTATAATATTAATAATATTTAATTAAATTATTTATTTTTTTAATATTAATTTATATTTTTATTTATAAATTTTAATAAATCTTTTAAAAGTAAGATAAGAATTTTATTTTATTTTTTAATTATATATTATTTTAATTTATTAATATTTTTATTTAAATTTTTATAAATTTTTAATTAGATTTAAATTAAAATTATTAGATAATTAGTTTATAATTTCAAATTAATTATTTAAATAATACTTTAATAAGTTTTTTTAACTAATATTATCTTTATTATATTTTATAAAGTTTTTTAAATTATTATAAATAGTAAGAGATATTATTATATATATTCTTATTTTATAAATATAAAAATATTTGTTCTGATTTTTTTATAAATTATAATAAAATTTTTAATAAAAAAACAAGATATTCTGATAAAATTATTTCTAAATATATATTTAATTTATTAAAAAATTTAATTTAAATTAAATATAAATTAATTAATAAAAAAATATTTTTCTTTTATATTAAACTTTAAAATTTATTAATAAATATTTTAAAAATAAAATAAAAATATTCATTGATAAAAATATAAATTTTAATATATAATAACTCTCATAATTATGAAATCATAAGAGTAAAAATTGAAATTTTCTCTCTATATTAAACTTGATAATTTTATTAAGAAATAATTTTTATTTTTATATCAAAATAAAAATTATTTCTTAATAAAATTATAAAGTTTAATATAAAGTTTTTACAAAATTAAGTTTGTAATATAGAATAAAAACATTTACGATATTTTTAATTCAGCAACCAAATATAATATTATTTAATTCATTTCAAGTTAATAATACTTGAAGTTTTATATTAAAATTATTTTATATGCTAAACTTGAAAATTTTTATAAACTAGTTAGTTAATTAGTTAAGTATATTAATATGATTTAATAATTTATTTATTTTTAAGTGATTCAATTAAAATAGATCATGAAATTAACAAGAATCAATCAATATCTGACTTTCTTTTTAATTCTCAGGTTAATTCAACAACAAATAAAGCATCATAAAAGAATCATGCAACGATAAGAGTAAAAATGAAAATTTAGATCAACTGTCTGTTAATCTTTATTTTCCAGTCTAATAAATATATATCCTTGCAGATATACATAATTGCAAAAGAGCTTGCAAAAATGATTAGTTCATTTATTTATATAAACAACCTAATAATGACAAAAACTTATATACGATTTTTAAAAATTGTACGAGATAAGATAACTATAGGCTCAAGTTCATTCGTCATTTTGATTAATGATACTTTTTCTCTTTATGATCCTCTACAAAAGAATGCGTAAGCATAAAAAATGTTAGATATTAAACAATAATATTATTAACCATCAAAATTACGATTTACAGGTATCAAATCAAATAGCAAACCAAAGAAAGACTTACTCAAATGAAATTGATAATCAAGAAGATATCCAATTCCCATAACCGCAGCAATGATGTGAACAAGTGGCATTGCAGAGTTAGTATGAATGTATTTTGCTCGATATTTGTCAATAAGACTTTTGGGTTCCGGGATCGGTCTCGGTCCTTTCGGCACTTTTTTGTAAAAATTAATTAAACGATTGATGCGCGCCGTATCTGCGGCTGAAGTACCTGCACGTTCAACTGATAAAACTGGTGGTATAGGAATTTTTGTTGTTAAACGGCGTATCTGTATAAAGTTCATTGTGTAGGGGGTGGGGTAGGTAATTATGTAGCAGATTCTTTAGAGAATATTGTATAGGAGATTAGAGATAATATATTTTGCATATCGATGTATCACCAAAGTTAGGCTGGATCTGCAATGAAATTTGCCATCGCAATATGATGTGATACTTTTAATTTAATTTATTTATTTATATATTATATATATTAATTATGGTCGAATGATCAGGTTGATCTTTTTTGTCGAAATGTATTTTGAGAGATGGATAAATATGTACTTTAGACTAAGAGTGGAGATAGATATAAAAAAGAAAGAGGATAATAATCTATGTACAAGAATGTATAATCATATCAATAAATAATAATATATCTACTTTAATATTATGAAACCTAACGTGCAACTATGAAAAAATGTCAATTGTGCTCGCAAAAAAATCTGGATAGACGCTGTATTACAACTCAACCTGTATAATATAAATGATTGAGCGCCGCCAGTTTTATTACGTGTCGCGATATGTTGCTCATTCATCCAATGGAAATCAAGCGAATTTGTGTTCTTCTCTAATTCTCAAGTACAACAAGATTGATGATTATTTTTAAATAAATAAAATTCATTATTGATTTACACGCGTAATGCTTGCACTGTGCTTCCGAATCCTATAGCAACGAAATCTGTACATGCTGAGCTCCAACTTAACTGACTAATCTCGCTATCTGCCTTATATGCCAAAAATGGATCTTGTTGATATTTATTACCACCACTAGTATTAGAGGACATGTTATGAAGATCCCATACAAGTACTTGCGAATCATCCCCTATTAAAAAAAAATAAATTTATGAAATCGATCGATCTCAGAATAAATAAACTTAATGATGAAATAAGATGGAAAAGAAACATATATACCCCCACTACAAAGATATCCACTTTGATGAGGTGCCCAATTAACACAATTCACAGTTGCAGAGTGACCTCGTAACTCGGCAACAGGTACACAAGGAACTCGCACATCCAATATTTGAACATCAGTAGAATCCATATGGAAAGTGGCCAAATAATTATGATCAATTTTATTGAAACAAAGGCGTAATAACGGTGATGGTTGAGGTGGAGTCATATGTGTTGAATTAACAGGAGAAGTATTCGTCTCGTAGATTATTGTGGAATGTTCTAGTGATCTGTATAGATTACAAATTATTATAAGCATTAAGAAAATAACAAGAAGAACAATAATAGAATATAGAGTTAAGAGTGATGCAATAGACGTACCTCAAATCAAACATTCTTACGCTTCCATCAGCGCCGACACTTGCAAATACATCTACAGTACCAGATGCAAAAGCAACATCATAAACTTCCTTATCATGTGCAATCAATTGTGTCTTTGCCTGAGTGGTTTCTACATTCCACACTGTACATGTTGTATCAATACTAGACGTGACTGCTAGCGTCGGATCAACTTCATTCCAGTCAAAAGATGTTAATGGTGCACTGAAATCTGCTTTTGGCTGTTTTTTGATAAAATTTATTTATATTTCAATAAATTTATTCATCAATGATGTCAAGCGATGATGTTGTAAATGTCATTAGTATAAATAAAATATTCAAATTAAGCGCATTAAATAATGAGAGATACTTACATTTGCTAGTAAATGTCGTTGAATTAATCGTTGATGTCGAAAACCATTATTGTTATTTGCACCAATACTATTGTTTGTTGGAAGTACATCGTCTGTGATTTCCCATAGACGCAGATGATCACCAGCTGTTGCTAATAAATCGGGATTTGAAGAGCCGCCCTAGCAAAAAAATAATTTTTTCGAGATCATTATCAATAATGGGTAATAATAAAAATTTCGTAACAATGATAGGTAATAAATAATAAAAGGCGTGCGTAAGACACTAATAATTTTCTTTCTTTATGCTAATTACTTTGTATGGCTCCCATAAAACTTTGGTAATCGGATATTGATGGTCTATTTCGGCAATCTTGACAAAGTCAACATTTGGTGGGCGTTGATATGGGTCGTCATATGCAAGTTCAGCCAGTGTAATTATTTGAAGCTAAAAAGTAATTAACCAATTGATACATCGACAAATGTTAAATAAATTAATTGGGTGAAAGTCGTAAAACATAAGATGCAAAAAAGAGAACACGCACACCTTATTGTCGCATTCTTCAATGAAACTTCCTAAAGCAAGTCGAAACGCTTTTTCTTGTGGACGTTTCGACCAGTCCAATCCATAGACAGGCCAAGGCGCAATGTATTGATACATTTCTTTTTTTGGCGGACTTTTTGCATCGTACCCTCTTGATATTTTTCCGTTTCCGTTCATGTCTGAAATGTAAGGCGATTGAGGAGGAGAGTTCGGTTGCTGAATGGGAGCTACGTGAGTTGAAAGGTAAGAATTTATATTGGTTTTATTCATTATCTTATGTTAATAATATAATATATTTACAGGCACGTCAAGAATATTATGTTAGACCAAATCTCGCGGAGAGTGATAACAATAGTAGTTTTTTTGTGTCTACTTTTGATTACATCATTACTCTAATTACTCTACCAATCATGCTAAGTTGGAATTATGATTTTCGATAAATTGAGAAAAGCAACTGTCAAAAAACTTACAGTTAGTTTATTGTGTAAATCGAGCGCATATACCCAATCATCCAGTTTAATCATGTGTCAACATGCGAATTATATGCATGTGAAGGTTTCGTGTGACCGAAAAAGTTATGATTTTTCCGATTGAACTTGCACGCTGGTGAATGTCTTTTTTGACGTTTATTATGCGAACATGAATCAATTCTTAAAAAGAGAAATACCGCGAGCATTCATTTCATTAATTAATTTAATTAATTATTTATATGTATTTATGATGATGAGATTTCTTCGACATGACATGTGGCCGTCCGTGTTTCAAACTCCCTGAATTCTATTACGTGGGAATTTCCTTTAGAAAAAGATGGTGCATAATCGATATATAACGATAAATTAAAGTTCTGAAGATATCATGTGTGAATTTCAGACCACCATTTTTTATATACTCATAATCCACATAACCCTTTATAATTTCCGGTTTGATCAATCAGGCTTAGGTAAAGAGTCACGTTATAATCTATTTGTGTAGATTTTTTTCAACAAATTTGTTATGAATTTGAAAAAATGATTTCACCCGGCGAAACATTAACAGCAAAAAGGACTAGGAAATGGAATCCCAGACTTATAAGGTGAATTATGAATTGGATTATCAGATATACTTGAATAATTGACCAACAAATGCATTACTCATCAAGGTTAACTACGATTGTTGTTTCGTTACCGTTGCTCGTGGTTACTAGCATGATTCTTTATAAGAGATGTATGTATGAAGAGAATAAATCTTATTTGTTGAAATACTTTTGTTAATTGGATTTTATTTTTCGGTAGTTATACTTGGACATCAGCCGACACCACGTGTACCAATAAACTTGAATTCCATATCTAGGTCTAAATCTAAAGATTCAAACGTCAATAACAACAATGAATGACCTTTGTCAGTGACAAGTATACATGATTAATTCTATATATTATATTATACTATGTAAAAAAATAAATTGCCTTTATTTTTTTAATATTGTTCCAAAATTAAAGAAATACAATCTAAGCTCAATAAATGTTCTTCACATTGATGTTATCCCACCGGCAGTCACCTGACAATTTGGAAGTTGTATATTGGGTTTAAATGATCTATCAGAGTTAAACAATCCCCAGCTTCCCTCAAGTGTTGTGAAGTAAGCTGCCTTCCAGGGCGTATCAAACGATTCAAAATAATAATATTTTATTTGTTTTTGGTTAGCAACACAAACATAAGTATCCAAAAATGTCTGTAAATTGTCGACGCTGGCGATTGATGCATTATCTGATGCACCGTTCGTCGGCCATCCAATTTCCGAAATTACGGCAGGTTTTCCTGCTGCTGCAGCTGGTCCCGAATCAAAATTATGAAAGAATTCGAATGTCCAGTTTGCTCCAGTGCTGACGGGCACACCACCAAAGTATGGGTGTACATTTGCAAATACTACATCGGTTCCGGCTATGAATGCTTGATCTACATTCGATCCGATATCGGATGTGAATACTGGGATTTTTGAATTGGGATATTTGGCTTGTATTTTACTTTTTACATCGGCAATACGTGAATATAAGTCACTGGGGGTGACTTGTTTACGGAATAATGCTATATAGATCAAAGAACAAAACAATATCAACATAAAGAAAACTGACATAATGATTGATTGATTGCTCAATCGATAGATCATCCAAAATAAAGAATACCTTCATTTCCGACAGAAACTCCCTCGATTCTAGAAATCCCATGTTGATCTAGATTATTAAAGAAGTCATTGTATTGTCTTGTATATGTAGTTTCATTTCCATCCACCCATATTGTGGGTACAACAGTCATGTTTAGTTTTAATAATTCAATCGCCAGAAGAGTATAATTCGCCATATTACAATCCATTCCATAAAGTCTTAAACGATTTGTTAGCTGAGATAAAATTTTAAGATCCTCTATCGTATCACCCAAAGTATTGGTACACCAAGGATAGAGGGCGAGAATCGGTCCATAGTTCACGCCATAAAAGGATTTATGTAGTCGGGGGTCAGGAGTTATTGATAAACTCACAGGTTTACCATCATTAGTATAATAAGGTCCGTCGGGGTTTGAGGGAATATTGGCACCTTTTCCAGCATTATTTCCATCATTTCCATTATCGGAACTTCCTACAGCACCACCAGTAGTTCCTTTATGAATAAGAGTATAGATAACACCAGCAAGTACCGCAGCTATTACAAGTATCCCCGCCGTAGATACTATTAAACGTGTTTTTCGTGATGCACGTTGTTGTTTCTTGAGCCATTCGCTTGCGTCTGGGTCAACCATTCAAGCTAGCTGTCTATATAAATATATATAAAGGAGATAAATGGACAAGAAATAAAAGAAAATAAAGGAATTTTGTTGTCAACTTTGCGAGAATGTAAGTTGAAAAAGTGGTGAATAGAACGGATTTAAAATTAAGCTGTATATTTATTTTGGTGCCACTTTTTGGTGTTTAATCATTTATTGCTTTTTTGAGCAACCGTAATTTAAAGCATTTATAGGATAAATAAATGATGATAAGATACAATAAAAACCGAACGTAACACTACATCGACCCATTTCATTCTAAAATCCAGTGAGAATCCATCGATCAAACTATTTTAACTTAGTTTGGTAATTATCCACACTTGAAAAATTACATACTTTGTATTCCCACAACCCATAAAAGTGGGAGGCAGAAATTTCCAAGCATGTGAGGCGAAATCGTAAAATTGTCCTCAAAAAATGTCATATCAATGCTTCTGCTAGCCAGAATAAGATTTTAAAAGTAGTTATAAAAATAGAATCGAAATCGTACGTCAAAATTACAACATGAGGGTTGCCAAGTTTGGCATTCGAGTTATTGCTTTTTTCACGATTTTTTAAAGATCCATGAGCTGGATCTAATTATTGGTGACAACAAAATATTTGATTATATATCAAATATAAAAAAATCATGAATAGTCGTTCTATGGTTCTTATAAAGAGGAGATTTTTAATGCATATACTAATTCTGCCATTTTTTTTTACCTTCAAAAAATTAATTTCAATTTATATTCTAATTATTATCCAAAGAAAATCATCAAACTAAATTATGATCCATCTTGTTTTAAAAAAGTTATTTGATTATAAAAAATGTACTGTCATGACCGAAAATAAGAACCCCAAAAAATCTACTCGAAATTGGGGGTTCTTATTTTCGGGACATCTTTAATTAAAAAGCATTGAACCCGACATTTTTTATGAAATGATATAATGATGATGTTATTTTTTTGACGCGGATATGCAGTATGAGTCTAATTAATAAATTATACATTGCCAAGAATTAAATTTTCTGTGCTTTTTATTTGATTAAAAAGAGGGGTTTCCTATTTCGAGGGTTTTGATTTTTGGTCATATAAAAAAGTTCACTTAATATAATGAAAAATACAAAAGCCAAATTTTTTATCTTTTATATTAAAAATAAATTCTGAAGTTTATAGAATAATACTAACCTAAATTATTTTTATATAAAAAAATTGATATATTATCATTAATAGATTATTTTTTAAAATAAAATTTAATTCTGTCTTATTCATAATTATGGGAGTCACTATATATCTCTTATAAAAAATTTTATCAAATATAAGACAAGATGCTTGCAAAATATTTAATAAAATAAGTCAAGTATAATTATTTTCTATAAAATCATCTCTTATATAACTCTTTACTTTTCTAGTTTATAAATCACAATCTTTTTAAAGTCATTTTTTTATTGAAAATAAATTCTTAATAAAAATTTTTAATCAAAAGTTATCAATAATTTTGGCTATTCTTAAAATATTATGATTAAATCTAATATTTTTTCAAATGATTATATCTTGCGATTCTGAGTCTCAGTAATTTCAAACTCTTCTAAATGCATACTGTCGGGCCATAGTATTGCATTTAAAGGAGAGACGAAGTCCCAGCTATACGCATATAGTTAAAAATATGCATTTAGAGGCGCATGCATTTAATGTAGTTCTTATTTGTTTGTTTGTTTGTTATCTGTTCATTGATCCTTCGTTTTATTCGTTCGTTTGTTTGGCTATGAATTATCATGAAGCACCGCA